AGTTGTATAAGCCCGGAGCTTAAAAGCGGCAGTTTACGGTATTTACTTCATAAATATTTTGTAGAATTGGGTAAGAGAGTGTTATCGTATATTGCAACCTCGAAATGTTGAGAATTGTTATTTAATATTGCATAAACATTGAACCTCTTCTTCACGTACATTGGCGGGGTGGGTTTATAAAATAAGTTCTGTCTGCCAACTCTCTATTCCCCTACCCACTTCAAATGGCGTCAAAAAGAAATAGGATGTGACGCGTTTTCAATGCAAAAATGCGCTGGCAAAGAAACTTTCCGTGCCGTGAGCCAGTTTGAAGACTTCAGTTCTAAGACCGTACAGTAACATCAACTCTAAACTTCTCCTTCATTTGCGCTAGCTGATTTGTGAAGTACGTTCCTGCCTCCCTCTTCTCAATTTCCCCTTCCCATTCCTAACCGCATGAAAAAGAAATAGGATGTGACGAATTGTCAACTTGATTGTTTAAGTTTATCAACAAAGCGAAATTCTACGGTGCAAAAATGCCATGGTGAAGGAACTGCCTGTGTCGTAAGCCAGTTTAAGCACTTCTAATTAAGACCTTGCAATAAGATTTCTGCGATCAAGCTGTTAATTCTCCATTCTAATCACTGTACTTTAATGCTAATGGAAATACAGAGAATTTAGTGATACCTCGGTGACATCACGGAATCCCAATGACTCTACAACTCTGAAACAGTTTCGGGGTTTTTGAAATCTAGCCTGCGTTGCAGCCGGACGTGTCATAAAATCCCCGATATAGTCCGTCTGCGAAGAAAAAGTTAAGTGGTTTGTTCTCTTTTTCATTTCAGTTAAAGGTTGGGTTCTTCTTGTCTGATCAGCTCGTTCGTAAAGTGAACGACTTTTCTGCCGCGCAAGAACAAGTGGACGATGGCACACAGCTCTTCACTTCAGATGATGGCGACAGACAACTTGTCTTCAAACAAGACCTGAGAGTTGAATTTTCTAACAATAGCACACAGGTAATGAGAAGTCTCATTTTTTATGCAAGGTTGTAGAATATAGGGTGTTCCTTTGATAATTGCGTTTTTTAAACTCATCTTCAGAAAAATTTTGTATATGATCTTGTTTTTTTTTCGCATGCTCAATTTTTCACCGCTCTAAGATTTGACCTGAAAAATTTCAATTGTTCACGTAGCTGTTTAGATGACCGTGCCTTGTCTCTGATTGGTTGCGCGCAAAAATTCAAAACCGAGCAATAACCAATCACAAACAGCACACAGATCTTTGTTGAGTTACGTCATCGGTTTGGAATTTTTGAGGTCGAATCCCGGATGTCTATGCGATCCAAAACAAACCCCTCTCGCTCAAGAAATATATTTTTGCAAGATGTTTGTTTCTTGTTACCTTGAATAAACTGAGTTCGACTTTTGTCAGTAAGTAATGAATCAAGGGACGAACGGTCGAACGAGGAAAGTGCGATCATATACATTGTATTCGAGCACGTTGCAAAACACGAGATAGCAGTTTTGGTGCTGTCATTTTTACAGTGTATAATAACGATTTTTGGTGTGTCGTTTCTGTCTATTTTGTGTATAAACCTTAAAATGTTTTATTGCTGATTATTTTTATTTTTAGTTGATTCCCCTGATGGCCTCAATAGCTGTACCCACCCTCCGGTTGTCTCAAGATGTCCTAGACTTTGGCACGTGCCTTGTTGGTCAGTCAATTGAAATGCACGTGACCCTGTATAATCCCTCCCAGTCTGCCTCCGCTTGGATCGCCAAAAAAGGTAATAAACGTGACGCCTAAGTGGTACATTCAATTCTGATCCAGTTCTGGAATTCGAAGGAGCTGGAGTCTGCTTATCACTATTGATTATCTCCCTCCCCCCCCCCCCTCCCCCCCCCCCCCCCCCCCCGGGGGCTAGTCCATCGCAGGGTAACCCCCAGCATTAGGGTTGCTGGTACCCATTTATACGCTTGGGTAGACAGAGGCACTGTGAGAGTAGTGTGTT